GAACCTGTAGTATGCAGCTGTAAACACACTGTTTTTGGACTGATTGTATGGCATCTATACAATAAATGAACCTGTAGTATGCAGCTGTAAACACACTGTTTTTGGACTGATTGTATGGCATCTATACAATAAATGAGCCTGTAGTATGCAGCTGTCGACACACTGTTTTTGGACTGATTGTATGGCATCTATACAATAAATGAACTGTAGTATGCAGCTGTCGACGCACTGTTTTTGGACTGATTGTATGGATCTATACAATAAATGAACCTGTAGTATGCAGCTGCTGACTACTTTTTTTTTGTAAGGGGTGCACTTATGCCTATAACTATTGTTCTTGAAAAGTGATTTTGGTAAATTTTGATTTCATATGCTTCATTTCTTAATGTATACACTTTTGCCATTGATATTTTGGGCATATGATGTATATTTATAAAACTTTCAAAGTATATTCTGTACTGAATTATTTTAATTATTTGTAAATAGTTCTTACTTAAAAATGCCACTTGCAAGTAAAAAAAAAAAACTATCAGAGAGACTTTTTAGAACTTACAGTTTTATTGAAAGTTTGGTAACATATTTGTTGATCCAAATCTTTCACACAGAAACTAAGCAAAAGCAAAGCCTGTGCAGATGCAGGGCTTTTGGATCCTGTCTTGCTTAGGAGATGTCTTCAGTTTTATAACAATGTTATGGGCTTGATGATACGGGTGATTTGTGAATTATCTGGGTAAGTTAACTTGTTTTTATAATTAGTTAGGTACTTGTTGGTAAATGTCATAATATCTTCAGCACAGTTATTTTTCAAGTTGTTCTGTGGCACTAATTCATTTTAAAATCAGATTTTTATATTTTTGAGATAAAATTTTGTGATTTTGATGTTTAAAAAAATGTCATAAGCAGAATGAAAATATGGAATAAAAAGCGGAATCCATTTCTCAACAAAATGATTGCAAACAAGTCACAAGGAATTAAATTAAACTATACCATTGGAAAAGGTAAAAAA